AAGGAATCTAAAGGCTCTAAACTGACTAATGTGGTAGTTCTGGGACTGATGCTGAATCATAATGATGAAATGGATTTTTACAGCTTTTGTGATTAACTTCTCTAATGTCAAAGGTAAGGTTTGTTCTTATCCTTGCTGTGACTTTCCATTTTCATTATCCATAGGTAATGGAGATTCAGCATCCACCAAGTTTTTTCCAGTAAAAGCAATTCCCTTTGAAAAGTAGGTCTATGCTTAGGTATTTCATAATATCAGTGTTATAGTTAATATTACTATTTTGTATTATGAGAGTTCAGAAAGGTGGTGGTCAAATTTGTGTTTCATAGAATCACAGACTAGTTAAGGTTGGAAGGGACCTCTAAAGGTCATCTGGGCCAATCTAGCTGCTTAAACAATGGGATTAAAAAACAAGGTAAGAGATTAGGCAGACATGATTAGATATGTAGACAGGGAAACAGCAGAGTTTCAATAAATGTCCAGGTCTCCAGGTCTCCATGGTTGCTCTGAATGCAACTTCCGCAGTGGAAACTGCAGAGTGTAACTCCTCCTTCTGACTGTTGTGTGTAGAACTTGAAGCTGGGAAGTTGAACCACTTTATCCAACACTGATTGTATGATCCGATGTTGCTTCATTGCTCCGCAGTCTTTATTTCAGACAAGTCTAACCAAGGGATATTTTTAATTTGCTGCTTCTACTGTACCTTCCACTGTGCCTGTTTCCCTTCCCTGGGCTTCATGCGGTGCTTAGCAGGGTCATAGCATCCCTCCTGTCAGAGAGCCTCCACACCTGGAGCATCTGCTGTCTTTGGCTCCTTCCAGATATATCAACTTCTTCCTATTTTGTTTTTATTTCCAGTACTTTGGCATCTAATTTCCCATATGCTGCTCTTGCTTTCTCCTGCTGTTTCTGTGGGTTCATCTGCACAGATGTGTTGCCAGAGTTTAATGTATCATTCCAGTGAAGCCATGGTAGTTCTGCAGGACCTTAGTGATGAAAGTGTCAATTTAAACTTTCTTGATTAAATCTCTTTTTTAACATTGATGTGGATGTGTGGGACAGGCAGAAGCAAGCTTACTGTGTCTGCAAGCCGCTTTGCTCTAGGTGTTCTCAAGCTTGTATAGTCCATCTTTCAGTAAACTGCAGTTACTCAATGTGCCTGGCCTCTTTCCAGCAGTGGTAATACCAGTGGGAGTTCCCTGGCTTGTGTTTCTTGTTTCTTCAGTGCCTCTGAGTTTTCAGAAATGCCAGACACAGTATGATTGTTGAGTTCAAGCTGCAAACAAAAGATTAAGGTGGGTAAATCTGCAGATTAAAAACATTTAATAAAAACAGTACTATTACACAGATTCATTTTCAGTTCTCTGTAAAGGCAACCTTAGATTTATTCGTTAATTTCACAGGAATTACAAAGTCTGTTCAAAAAGGCTGACATCCTTAGACAGAAACTTTGGTGGAGTGGACTTGGTATGACAGATGGGCTGGAGCAGCCCCTTGTGAAAAATGGGCACTCAGAACTCTGATAGCGCCTTATTGACGGGCTTTTTTCTTTTTTTGACTGAGAGCTACAAAGCCTGGCATGATGGACTGCTTCTCTGTTGCTGAAGGAGGTAACCTGGGAACCTGATGCATCTAGAATTGTCTGTAACACCTGCTTGAAGGGGGAAATTTTCCTATTCTTTAAACACTGGATATTGTTGCAAAAAAACCGCAACACCTCACTCTAAAAGAGAAGAGGGGAAAAAGTGTTTTCAAGTGCTTAATTCCCTTCATTAACTGTGCATTTTCAGTATGTAATCAAAGGATTAGTATGAGGATTCTTAAATTTGTGGAAATGTCTCCAGGTTTTTTTTTTAAATGTATACCAACTCTTGATAGAACAACATAATTTTTACATCCTCAGAAACAAACAGTATTAAAGATTTTCTGTATATACCCAGCTGTGGTGGGTTGACCTTGGCTGGACACCAGGTGCCCACCCAGCCACTCTATCACTCCCCTTCCCAGCCAGACAGGGGAGAGAGTAAGATGGAAAACAACTCGTGTGTTGGGATAAGGCAGTTTATTAAAGCAGGAGCAAAGCGGAGGCTTGTGCACGCAAAAGTGAAGCAAAAGATAGCAGGGTTTATTCTCTACTTCCCATGAGCAGTGATGGTCGGCCACTCCCGAGAAGCAGGGCTTTAGCATGTGTAATGGTTCCTCAGCAGGCAGCCACTGGAGACAGTGAATGCCCACCTTCCTGCTCCGTGCCTCAGCTTTTATATCTAAGATGACATCACATGATATGGAACATCCCTTTGGTCAGTTTGGGTCAGCTGGCCTACTTGGGTCCCCTCCCAGGATCTTGCCCTTGATTGAGGAAGGAATGTTACAGCACTGATGCTGTGCTGCCCTGCTCAGCAGTAGCCAAAACACCAGTGTGTTATCAACACCCTTCTGGCTACCAATGCAAAGCACAGCACTGTGAGGGCTACTGTGGGGAAGTGAACTCCAGCTCAGCCAGACCCAATACACCAACACACTTACTTTGTGTGGCTTTGTAATTGCCTGTATTTATTTGCTTTCTAAGATACAGTACTTACTTAAAAATTCCAAGGATACACAGGTGCTTTTGTAATTTTTGTTATGTTTTAGAAAATAACCTGGGACTGCACAACTTTGTCACTGAAATTGCAGTTCCCTGCAGGACCTGCAGTATTCACTGTGATTGTATAATATCACCACTTAACTTTTTTCTACCACATAGGTTTTTTACCTTGTCAAGAGGAACTTAAAAAGACTGATGTCTTGTTATTTAAATATACAGATAGGTCTACACAGGTTGATATAAAAGATGGGAATACTAAAATAAGTAAACATAAGCAAATTGATTTAGTAGTTATCATAATCTATGCAAGTGCCCTTTTAAATTTTTGAACTTAGGTTGCTGTGCCATGAACGTCATTGCCCAGCACTCAGGCTTTGGTAGCTTGGCATTTGGATTTGCAGAATTTCCCTGCTTTATTTTCCATAGAAACTAAAACACATTGTTTATTTATGGATAAACAATAAGCTTCCAGTTGAGGATATATAACCTGTGAGTGCAATAAGCAACCAGAAGGAATGTTGCTGGCAGACAGTGCCTGTTTGTATGGATGAGACAGTAGACGTCTACATGCTTTTATGTGATTCTTTATTCTTTGCTTTCTTTGACTGTATAGACAGTACATTATACATTGCTGCTGACAACTGGCAATTTCTGACTTCCCTGTATAATTGGATTTTGAGAAGATTTGGATGTGTGGAGTTAAACATGGCTTCCTGAAGCCTTGTCTGGTGGAAGTAAATGGGAGTTTCATAGTACATGTCAACAGGCCAGGACTTGACATTTATTGTTATTTTCCTACCCTTAAGAAGAAAAAGGAAGGTGTATTGGGAGATCAGAGATGGAATAATTTTGGTCGCTAAAACGGTGCGGCATGATATAAGTTTTGACAGGCAGTTAGCAGTGTAATTTAGAGCACCTTAAGAAATGAGGACACATTAATGTTGGTGGTTTGATGTCTATCCTTCATGAATCTTCCTCTCTTCAGGAATCACATCCTTGCTGGGGTCTCAGAGTGTGCATCTGAGATGAGCCTGGATGAGGTGTTGCAGTCATACCCGCATGGACACAGACACAGGGTCCTGCATCTGAACAGTGTCACTGTGGAGGTCCTCTCCTGCTGCACCATGAGTTGGTTGCATAGGCATGGCCTCAAATAGTTGTACTAGGGAAGAGGAGCTGAGGAAGGGAGCTGGGAGGCTCTAAATGCCTTGTCTTAGCCAACAGGCGAGAGGGTAACATCCAGCCGTAGGCACTGGATGTGCTGGTAGTGTCTTAAATGACATCTGAGCATATTGTACATCATGGATTATTGATTTGAAATAAAAAGCGGATTATGTTTACAATAGAAAAATGAGAACCACTGCAACTTCTGAGGCTGGCACATCTGGGCGTTAAGACAACAAGGGGACATTAAAGCGAGCTGCAATTTGACCAAAAAAGAAAAAAAGCGAGCTTTGACATTTTTGATGGTTATTACTGTGTGATAGCCTGTCGGCCGTGAGGTGTTTGAGGGCTTGAATATTCAGTATATCAGTCAGCATAAATTAATAGAACAAGATAAACGTGCTTCTACAGCATGAACAAAAGTACTCATGTGTTTTCTTGAGGGTTTATTTAGCTCTCCCTGAGAACATGGGCACAGTGTCTGTGTTCATTTGATCTCTGTGAAAAATGGTAGAAGGCTTCATTTCTCCTCCCTTTTCATTTTCTTCAGTTGAATTTTTTATGAGTTATTGTTTATGTGAAAGGATTGATTCCTTTTAGAGAGAAGTAGAACATTCTGTTAAATTCTCCTGTTAGATGCAGATTCACAACCCTGCACGTGGTGCTAAGGCACTTCAGAGCCATCATATTCCAGTTAGACAAAAGTAATGCCACAGAGATGGTTTCGTGAGCTTTGGTGGCACTGAAATAAAACTACAAAACCTAAAATCAGATTGTGTCACTTGCAACATGTTGGATGCCATAGATTAATTCCGTATGACCTTTAACGGGAGTGAAAATCTATTTGATTTTGAGCTCTCTTTCCCTAGACAATGCACTGAGTGCTGAAATCCTATGTATTGGCATAAAAATAGATAGAACACAAAGTGGCTGAATTTGAAAGCCAGATTAATTTAAATTAAAAATGCAAACCCCATTTCTAGCAGAGTATGATTGACCATTGAAAATACAAACAGCCAAGAGAATGGCAGTTCATCTGTTGATGTCCACTGGTCAAAACTTCAGTCAGGTGTGAATTATGCTTTGGTTATGCCTGATTTCCCAGGGTAATTGGGTGTCAGTCTGCAGCTGCATTATACAGGAGGTCACACTTGATATTTGTTATGATCTTTTTCAATTTAAAATCAGAAACTATAACATGAGCCAAATTGAAATAAATGGTGTTCGTATTTGTCTCTCCCTCCCCTCATAGGTACTACAGTGCTACCATTCTGCAGATGTCAGGAGTGGAAGATGACAGGCTTGCAATCTGGCTGGCTGCACTGACAGCATTTATAAACTTCATTTTTACTCTTGTGGGAGTCTGGCTTGTTGAAAGAATGGGTCGCCGGAAACTTACACTTGGTAGCTTAACAGGTGAGTGTTTCATTAGTGTTTAGTATCTTCCTCATAATTATTAATGAAACGAAAATAAAATTTCAGGTGCAATTTTTTTCAAAGTAGTCCTCTTTAAAATTACAGTGTTGTTGCCATCTTCTCCCTGAAATCATATAGCTTTTCAAGACTAGTAGTATAGTACCACAGCTAAAGGCTAATTTAAAAATGACAGCATGTTATTTTTTCAGGTGTTTCTCCTTCAAGCCATGTTTAACAATGTTTTTATTTATCTTTAGCTTTTTTTTCCAGTTTCAGGAATCAAATGCTTGGAACTTCACAGCTGGTTATTTTTTAAATCTCCTATGTAATTCCTGGCTGATAAAATGGAATTCAGAACCATCTGATGATGAAGTACCAAAGAAAGCATATTGCATAACTATTGCAGCACTTCTTAAAAAGTAATGCAGTTTTTGCATAGTTACCTCAGATATAGTGCAGTAAATATCTTACATACATTTGTGTTATTTTAATTCATCTCCTGTATGAGATACTAAAGGGCAGAATTCTGGATTTGTACATTTTATCCAAATATTCAAACACCATAACTCATCACAGGAGTCTTCTCTTGGAAGCAGGAAAAGGCAGAGCGAGCACCCACCCTGTGTTCAGTGTGTCCTGCCTGGTAATTCCCTGCTTATTCCTGCATCATGGGCTCATTCTGGCTGAAGTGATCTGTGACTGATGCCTGCCTCTGGTGAATGTCTGGAAGGTTCAGACATTTCCAAGAACAGGGTTTCGAAGAGAGAAACAGTTCCTGCTTCTCTTGAAATAATGTTCAGAAGTGTTTGGCTGGGAAGGTTTAATGTCTCCATATTTTGTTCTGTTGTTGCTGTCAAGGATCCAAACTTCTAGTTAGTGCAACACAGCAGAGAGTGGGACCAGCTGCCATGTCACTGGCCATGTGCAGTTCCCAGCTCCCAGTTGACTTAATCTACACTCAAGTATTTGAGTGTGTTTATATAGGCAGAGCAGTGACAACCCAGTGACATGTCTGGGTACACAGACATGTTTGGTACACAGTAACTCAAATCTTTAAATTAAAACATGCAGTTTGGAGGCAATTTGGTGTTCCAAGTTGCAATAAATGTGGATTTGCTTGGTTATAATTTTGATTTGGAGTCAAGAAACCTGACGTGTTTTTCACAATCCAAGTTCAGAAATGAGGTCATGACAGAGGAGATTGTAAAAGCACATTACTCATGTCTTAAAAGATATCAACAAAAATCTGAAGTTGATACTTATATCACAGACTGCATGCAGATCTATTAAAATACATCTCCCCTATAAGTTCTTTGATTCCTCCAGACAGTCTGTTTTCTTGTCTTTCTGTGAAGCAGATTTCTCCAGGCCCTGCACTGACACTTCTGGTGCTTGGGTGCCGCCTCTCCTTTGTACTCTGTTGGAACAGAGTATTTATTTATCTGTTGATTTGGCCCCAATAATCTCAAATGTCAAGCTAGCCCCTCAGAAGTTTATCTGGACTCAGCTGTAAAGCTGTTATTCCCACATGGACTTTTCATATGATCAGAGTTCTTTGCTTTTGTCTCTGGTTAACATATTCAAAGGCTGTACATTTGAAATGTAGGTATAAATGTCTCTTACAAAGCGTATTAGTCATGGAACAGAGTAGGATATAGAAATAAGACACAGAATTAACAATGCATTAAAAGATTATTTGCTAATGATGTGTGGACACAAAGTAATTGTTTTAAAAAATGGTCTTTCTTTTGTGGTCAGTTGCTGGTGCTCAGTCTGCAGCATCACTTGAGCCGTGCTGCATTGCTTCCTGTGGTTTTTATTGTGCGGCCCCTCCTTAAGGAAAGTACAAATAATGACAATAATGAAATCATATGTCATCTCTCTGTACCATCTAGAATTTTTTTTATGCAACGTTTGACACTTTGATTTAGGTAGTGGTGGATATGATGTGTTTTCCTTAACAAGAGTGCTGTGTAATAGAATGATAATTACTAAATCTGCTGATGGATTTGTTTTCTATGTTGAGTTTTCTCAAGAGGTAAACATATTTTTTACTGCTCTACTTTGGATTTCCAAGGACATTAACTTTCACACTGAGTTATTACTGGCAGCTTCTCTGGTCTTTGGGGAAGCTGGGTATGCCCCAGTCTCTCATTGCACAAAATGAAAACAAAACGACTATTTTTGCCTACTGCTGCGTGGCTGTGGGGTTTTGTTTTATTGATAAAGGCTAATTTATTAGAGGAAAACCTGCAAGAATAACCAGAAGAGAGATAGTAACATTAATATTTTGATTAAAAGCCAATATACTGTAATTTCATTTTGTAAACTCATGTGCTTTTCCTGCTTTCTGAAAACTTTGAGAAAGAGCTATTTCACATTTCATTTAATGTATCTTTATAATTTTCAAAATATTACAAACTTTTGAAAAATTGAGCCTTTCATATAGTGTTAAGAAAATAATAGTAAACTGCTACTAAAAAAAAAATGACCTTTTTCTTTCTCTTTACTACAGTTGCCGATTCATCTTAGTTTCACATTCATTTTATATCTTGTTATAATTTCTTTATCTTTCTTCTTTTTCTTCAGTTAACTTCTTTCTTCAAAGCTTTAATTGGGAAACATGCAGGAATTTTGACAACTGTGTTATTCATTTTTCTTTGTGTTTTTCTTTTTCCCCTTCAGAATTTGTCAATTTGAAAGCAGGGTGGTACTTGGGCATTGGACAATTTGTGTCTTTTTAAAACAGAGAAGATCTAAAATGTCTTCAGGGTATTTCTGGATTTTTTTCCCATCTCGGCTAATGATGTGCTGTAATTGTTTGGTTTTGTTCATCATAGCACAACTTCCCACAGAATGAAAACATTAATTAAACTTCATTTGCCAAGGTTTACATATTGTGTACTTTTCCAAAGAAATAAGACATTTACAGAGGTTCTGGAAGTGAATGTTAGTGTATTTGGTTAACTTGAAAGACAGACAAGGCATATTTAAAATGAATATGAGTAAGATTATAAGCCCTGTCTAAAGATATTTTCTGTCTGGTTTACGGCATTTTGAAAGTACAGTAAATCTAGTGTAATATCCAGCCTGCCCAGAATACTGGTATTATTAGCGTACCTACCAGCCATAGCAGTACAAAGCCAAATATGGAATGAACTGAAATATCTTACGGTGAGTAGGTGCTTTCTCCACACACAGTTTGTGATTGAGTTTAATGTCTTAGTAGCCTTGGTTCAGGTAAATGTGTCATTCAGCGTTCTGCACTTCATGCACTAACTTCCTGTTAGCCATAACTGCTGCACAGGCACATTCATGGATAATTATATTACATGTCTTTGTACTTAAGATATTATTTATCTCTCAGGAAAAGGTTTCCACATACTTCGTGAGTTTGCCAGCTGGGAAACTCTCGCTTTTCTTTTTAAAAAAAAACATTCAAACCCACCCCCAAAACTGCCAGTACATCCCTTCTGTTCTCCGCCCAGCAAAAATACTTTAAGCTTCAAAATAAAGACCAGATAATGCATAATTTCTCAAAGATTACCAGACTGACATGTTGAGGGTTTTAGTGTAATGGCATTTCTAAAGGTTCACACAGATGTGTTACTGAGAAAATTACTTACATGTTTTTAACATACTGAGCAAAGAGATGATGAGAAGTATTTGGAATTTAATACAATGTTTTTCATTTGCCCTTAATCATTAAGCTATATCACTGCACACTTGTAAATGTGTGCTACATTCCTACTGGGATGTGCTTCAGTGGTCCGTGAGTCTGGTTTTATGCAGTAAGGATAATGTTATTGTGTAATCAGTCACCAGCTCACAAGTAATGTTATTACTAATTTTCTACGGCTATTACTAGATCAGGCCATACATGTTGTGTATGACCTCTCAAATAAAACATGCCACACAAATAATGAGTATTCAAATAGGTATACAGGATATTTTATACAATGTAGATCTCAATGCATCGTTGAGTAGCAGGACGTAAAGGTTTTATTAGGTCTGAGTTTGAAGCACTTGCAGTAGTATCATGAGTAGTGAGGTATGTCAGTTTTCATTAAAATGATACAGTATATTGTGTGCGTGTGACAAATAAGGTAGGAAAACTGTGAGTTGTGTTCTAGTAATGGCCTGTTGCACAAAATACGAACCTCTTTTGTCATCTTCCTCTTCTCATTTTGCCCAGCTCTTGCACAAGGAATTTGTTGGGGGAGACAGGAGCAAACAGATGGAAAGAGAGTTTTTCCTAACAGATGATATGTGTGCTCTTTGAAGCAAGATCAGAAATTGATGTTGGACTTTTTGATGGTGTTTTTATTAAATGTCAAATTTCTCTCGTTTCACAAAGGGAAGTAGAGTCAACAAGAAAGCTGATGCTATTTTCTTTTTTACGGAACAGTCTGCAAGTCTGGGTATGGGAGTGGGAAGAAGTGTGGTGATTTCAGAGTCACTGTTAAATTTTACCTTTACAGTAGTGTTTTAAACACCAAAGATAATATTATCCATTCATTCATGCAGTTGTCAATTCCACATATTACAGAAGTGTCAACCTATTAATTTAATATCTGGACATTAAACCCGATGCACTTGACTTTAACATTTAACCTAATTCAAGATGTGGATGTAGCAAAGGGTATTTTTCTTAGGTTCTCATCACAACTCCTTAGCGAATGCTGTGTGCATAGTGATGGGGTGCCTTGCTTTTCCAAGCAGAGTTCAGTTCAATAGAGAATTATATCATGTGCTCTAGAGAAAAGTATCACATTGTTCTTTGTCTGTATTTTTAGGTACTGCTGTAGCACTCATTATCCTAGCTTCGGGATTTTTGCTATCAGCTCAGGTCTCGCCAAGAATCACACTTAATCCACCAGATCCTTCACATCAAAACTCTACCTGCACAAAATACAGGTGAGATTTCATGATCATTCATGCAGTCTTCTTGAAGATTGTTTCCATTTAATTGAGTTTTACAACTTAGTGGAGTAATAGACAAAGCCTGGTACAAGGAACAAATATTCACAAAGCCTGGTACAAGGAACAAATATTCACAAAGCCTGGTACAAGGAACTAAACTAAATAGCTGAAGATTAAATCCTAACTTCCCTCTGTAGAGAAGATTAGACCCTGATTAAATTCTCGGAATAATCCTTTGGAGTTTCTTGGACTAAATAAGGTGGTTAAGTGGTAAATTCCACATTTACCTCCTCTGATATATCACACCTGCTACAAGTCATAGTGTACACAAAGTCAGGAATATTTCACAAGGAATTTGTGAAAATACTTGCTGTTATTCATCTGCTTGTACATTTGTCATGCATAACAGCTGTAAACTCTTCAAGAATATGTGTTTCTTGCCTGTGGTTTTCCTGAGTGGAAAAAAAATAATCTTCAGTTAATAACATACCAATTAATAAATGTGATGCTTTTGACCTATTTTTCTATAGTAGCTAGAAGATGCACTTCCATATACAATCATAGTTTCAAGTAACATTACTTCTGGGGTTTTAGGAATGTGTAATTTTCCATATTTTGTGAGTTTTATTCACATGTGAGTGCCCTTTTGTTCATTTAGCTGCCAGACTAGAAATTTCTCTATTCAGAGAAGACTAGTTCAATGGCTGAAGAAATTCTTACTTATGTTCAAAATCTGTTTTACAAGTGTTTGTAATAGAAATAAATGCCAAGAAAGAAGAGCTACGCTTCTAGTTTCCTAGCAATATTGGCTGGTTCATGACTTTTCTTATGCTACAGCAATGTCTTAGATGAAAGATTCTAAGGATCTGGGGAGGGGATGGAAGGTTTTCATTGAGTATAAATAGATACTAATAACTGCAACATGGCATACTACCAGATATAAGGATTTCTACCTGTAGTTTTACTTGGTTTTTACTGCAGAGCTATACAGCTATATTTTGCAATTTTTGAGATGGGCCTGTCTACAAATGGTGAGTAGTCTGGTTAAAAGATGTAAAGGGGGAAGAGCTTCCAAATGCTCTCCTTTTGCAATAATATTTCCTTAAAAGAAGAATGTGAGAAGGATTTGCCTAGGACTTCAGTTAACTGTGTGGAAGGGATGTCTGGAGAGAGCAGATGCACCCTTTGCAGAGCTTATAATTTGTTATTTAATAAAGCTAGATGATTATATAACCTGAAACAGTATAAAATCTGCATAGAAGAAATAGGGCTTGTCCAACTTAAAAAACAATGAAAAAGTATTTGACAGAGTTTTCATGTTCCAGTCAACCACAGCCAGGCAGGAAAGAAATTTAGACCCACTGCAGCTTGTGTGGCATGCACTTCTGGGCAAAAGCATGAAAAATTAAAGCGGGTAGTTCTAGTAAAGGCATGTTGTTTCATGAATTATTTGAATACTTGTAATCTGTTGTGATTTCTGTTTCTGACATGAAGTGAGCAAAAGCAGATATGATACAAATTCAGAGAGTCTGGAAAAAGAGCAGTAAAAGAATTGAAATATTTTCATTTGAGAGTATTTTGAAATAGAAGGACCTCTCTTTGTTTAAAGATAAAAGTGAATAAGGGGGTGGAAATAATGAGCAATATATGAGAAAGCTTTAGGTGCTTCTATTTTAATCTTATGGTATACTTTAGTAGAAAGACACAAAAACCAGGAGAGTTGAAACTAATAAGTGGATGCTGCTGCCCACAAATCACAGAATTAGGCTGCAGCACCCAGTATTTAAAAGGATTAAAAAAATAGTGATTGATACACTTAATAACAACTTTCATGCTTGTAAATCTAAAACTGCTTGTATATCTAAATTTTCGTGCTTCAAGCATGAAAATACAAGCATACATTATATTTGACTTGGAAGAGTGTCTGTTTAAGGACCAAGTATGCCTGCTTTCTGTGCACATTGTCAATAAGCTGAATGAAATTTTTAAAATTGTTTTAGTCATGAGAAAGTAGATGGTATTTTCACCATTCCACTTGGGTTAGAAGAAGTTTGGCATAACATGCATGGTCTTGGAAGGAAGAGGTGGAACCTGGAAACCAAAGGAAAGGTAAAGGCTGGGTTTTATGCCGTGTGGTTCACCTTTCCCTCCTTTTTGGCCCTGCACGTATTCCCTATGGCAATTATGGAGTTGAATCAAAGAGATTCTCAAACCAGAGGATTTGGAAGTAAAAGTCTAGTCTGCATAATGCCAGTCTTCCATATTTTCTTTGCCACTCCAAGAACAATACTGTATAGATAGCCTCCATGTAGGACAGCAAGTGTTACTGTAGAGATAGTTACACACAGGATATCCAGTCAAAGTAAAAGGAGGTAACTTAATGGCAGTGGTCTCTTGCTGTTTAACCCATATTTTAGCTTGCTCCACTGTAACTGCTGGTATCTCAGATTGCTTACCATAGTCTCTTGCAAGCCTTCAAGAGGTCTCAGAAAGTTTGGGAAAAGCAAAAGGCAGCAGGACTTCAGAAGATAGACAAGTAATGCCATCTCACTGTAACTGCTTTTGAATATGTGTGCCTACACAAATGCAGCTCACAGTCTTCTTCATCTAATGGTGACACAGTGCTTCTCTGAGGTGAGCTATCCTTAGAGTATAAACTTGTTTGCAGCTTGGGCATTTCAGTGTGGGAGCGTTTCCTAAATATAATTTGCATTTTTCTTTGCCAAAATGTATTTATAAGTTATGAAAACTTCAGTTATTTTGCTGACAGAAGTTTCACTGACACTGTTCAGAGTAAAAATGCTTTTTATGTTTGCAAATCCATTGGGTTTGAGTAAGTGGGGGTGTCCATTAAGAAACCCTTGGAGCTACTACAAACAGTATGTTTGCTTGTTGTTCCTTCAGATCCATATTCCTCTGCACAGATTAATTTCTGCTGCTAGAATAACAATGAAAATAGAACAGACTAGCAAATAAAGAGCATAGTCATTGTCCTAATTCAAAAAAGCACCTAGGGCTTGAACACTGTGTTCTGAAAGAGCTGTGCCATGCAAACAGAGTAACAAGATACTTGTACATGTTTACAGAAAACAAACCAGTAACATATGCTGTGAATATCAAACAAAATATTTTCATTTAGTGTAGAGATGTACAATATCATAGTCAAACAGACAAAAAATAATCCATAAATCTCTGAAACAAAATTTGAATCACGGAAATAATGCAAATTCAGCAGGGCACTCTGAACACTGAAATCTGTTTTGCCTCCTCACAGATGGAAGTGGATGTGTGTCTCACTGAGGAGGGGCAAGGTGAATGCTCTCTCTGTGCCATCCTTAAGTCAAACTTCATTTTCACACTCAGCTTTGTAAGGTTGTGTAGATAATTTGCAGTGTGGTCACCTGCTTTATTTGATCTTAATCTCCTCAGCAGCTGTGATCTGTTACATATCATCAAGGCCACACAGAAGCTCAGAGGTAAATTTAAGAATACAGACCAGCACCATCCCAAAATTTATCACCTCAGAAATTAAAAGATGAACTAGCCATTCCTATTCTGACTACCAAAACTCTATGAACATGTTCCTATTTTTACTGGGAACTTGCCTGGTTCTGGAAGGGGATTGAGATTGGGACATTAGGACATTAGTTACCCTCCTACCTTTTCCCAGTCTTTAAAGAATCAGTGGTGTGACTGTTTGGGAAATTGAGCCAAATGACTGTTGTCCTGCTGCCTTGTATTCTTAGTCCTTTTGTCTCCTTTTATTCATGTGTCCATCTCTCTCACTTCTTGACACTTGGTCAGCTGTAGAAGACATAATGTGAACTTGTTCTGCTTAAGCAAAATTTTTCATCTCAGTTACTATATGAAAATGGCAAATATTGTGTTAAGCTTAGGTTAGTGCTCGTATCTTAAGGAAATAATACCTGTGCACGAGAAGTTTCTCAAGATCCTTCCTGAACAGATTGTCTTCAGGCTGATTAGAATAATACGGGTGGTGCCAGCTGTGCTGGGCACACAAGGACTCTGTTGTTCATCTTTGAATTAGTCACCCTCACGTGGCTAGTGTTCCTAAGCTTGTTGTACAAATACACACCACCAAGATGGAGGCACCAATATTTAGTACTCTAACATAGCCATTTTATAAGATAGCTAATGGACAGAAATATGTATTTTCTTTATGAATGTAGCAGAAGTATATAATTGTGATCAGTCCTGAAAAACTCAGCCAACCTAGTAACTGAAGCTTCATTATTTAGAAGTTTATTAGCTATTGTACTTTATTTTATTGACATAACTCATTGACAGTCTGATTTATCAGCAAACTAGGTGTTGGTACTCTGCATAATGTCACTGTATCATGGAACCAGTATCTTTTAAAGTGTGATTCTCATTTTCTGTTTCTAATACCAAAGTGCTTGAGCTACTGGTGTTTCTGACAACTGAGAATTGCAATAATAAATATAGTAATGTGGTTTGGCTATTAAGGTAAAAATATTATGAATATGTGAAGAGATAAAAATGTTTGAGAATACTTTTACCAGCTCTTATGAAGTGTAATTAAAATTCTGATAGTTTGTGTTGTAGAACTGTGAAGTGACCTCAACATAGTCTCGGAATATATTAAGTAAATAATATAAGGTTATATTGCTTGGTAATAATTTTCTTTTTGCTGGCATGTTGCTCCTATCAATCAAAACTTGTAATTTAATTTTAAATTATAAAGAATAGGAAGGAGTATGTCAGTCCATGTAGTAAGCATCTTTAATGGGAGTGAGGAAAAAGTCCTCTCTTCAATTTCAACACAAAGATCCGAAAAGTGACTTACCTGAACTATAATATCTGTGAGTGCAATGCCATCCCTGTAACTGTTGTTAACATTTCCACATACTTTGACTCTGCACTTATGAGGAAACAAGGCATTGTTATTCATATAGTAACCTACTAACACTTCACATCTCTGCCAATACTTCTAAGACTTTGCTGTTTAACAA